TTTTTTCCGACTGCTTATTTAATGCGTTGATTAAAATATAAACCTTGAATCCGAATAAGTAAATGATTTTCCTCATTTAAAAGTATTAAAAAAATGAAAAAATTAAAACTGAATTTTTTTTATTTTATTCTTTTACTTTCATTTTGCTTGAAAATTTCACAAAGCAATTATGTGATCCCATAAACCATTAATAAACATGTTACATAAAAAAGAATTTGTAAAGAGGACCTGCCTCTCTCTCTCTGTCCCTCAGGCTTTTGTCAGTTATTCTCCCAGTAAAGAGGGGTGATTATCTATCCCCTCCTCAGTTCTCGAGAAAAAAGAATAGCAGTTTGAAAGATAAGTTTCCAAGAAAATCAAGATGTGTTTGAGGGGAAAGGATTTCTATGGGTCTTCGAAAAGTCTTCAATTTCAACCATGTCTAATCGCATCCGGACTCTAGTTTAACAATGTATGAGCAAAGTTAGGAGTAGTGCAGTGAAACTACAATTACATAGAATTTACAATATATTTTACTAAATTTTGTTACTAATTCTTAAAAATAAATAAATAAAAAGTCAACTACAAAAATTTTTATTAGGCATTTGTAAATGAATTTTTGACATTTTTTAGAAAAAAAAATGTGACCAGACTATTTTCCCGACGAGACTTTAAATTTTTCCCGATGGGGGGGCTGGCCATGCCTGACGGGGGTGCTCCAGCCCCCCTGACCCCCTACTGGAGCCGCTCTTGCTCTCTTTCTTATTTTTACAAAGTGCAACTTATTATATTATATAATTAAAAGAAAATTAGTAAAAAATAAAATACACCCAAAAAAATGCACTGTATAAAAAAATAAAACAGGTGTTTAGAGAACTACTAGAAATGTCACTGCCACCCTTTCCTTCAATAAGCAATAAAACACTCTTCCCGCCATTCCTTTTCTTCTCACTGTTAAAGATGATTCACCCTCAACATCACACACATAGTCATTTGATACCCCAAAAATAGCCGCCTTATGGGAAAGGATATGGGAAAATGGTCTTAGCATTTTAAAATTATCTTTATCGTATTTGTGGCCCTGGGCTCTTTTGTCCTCTTTTTTTAAGATGTCAAGTATCAACAAACCCCTACCTATTCATAAATTGTCTCAAACAGGCAATTATCTAGAATTTCTAGGGGGGATTTCTTTTAGGTAGGGGGTATTTAGGTAGATATTTTCCTTTTTTCTTTTTTGGTGGTTTTGTCAAGAAAATTTCTCTGACATACAATCATTCTAAATCTTCTCTTACGTATAAGCGCCCACAGTGTTATTCCATTATTATTTAAATTATCTGGAAATTTTGTTAAATATAAATAATTCTGTTTACTTTTATATTTTGTTTCACCTAATTGTTTTAACTTAAATTATTAGTTGTTATTTTTTTTTAAATAAAGTTTTTGTAATAAAGTTTATCGTTGGATAACAAGAAGTCATTAAATATATTCAGGGGAGGTAAGCAAATGTTTGTATTAAATCACTTAATACATTTATAATTGTATGTTTATATACTGCAAGAATTGCTTAATAGTTTGTATATTAAATTTATTTCTATAGTACATTAGTTCATGATTTTAGTGTTCACTGCTCATGAATTTATTTTGAACGCACGGAGTTACTTCTCACTTTATATTTATAAAATCAATGTAACTTTTAAATTTTTAAAATTATAAATCAAAGCTTGGAATTTTTATGACTTTCCAATAACTTTGTTTTCATTCAGAAATTTAATGTCACATTAATGTTTATAAGGAAATTTACATATAGTTTAATAAAATTATTTTTTTAATATAAATATTGATTATTTATGCCCTAATATTAATAATTAACATTAACTTGCATTTTAATTAATTAAAATAATGAAGAATTACTTTAAATGCAAAAGTTTCATAAAAAATTTCATATGATTTTATTACAGTCAGTAATAAAAACTAATAAAAATATTTTTTTTTAGGAATGGGATAATTTGTTAAACTTAATTTATTGTATGAATGTTTAATGCTTACTTCGTAATTTTATTTATTTTGTTTTTATCAAAATAATATGGGATTTTTAAAGTAATTATTTTGCGCTAATTAGCATTTTCATAATTTGGTATTTTCAACAAATATTTTTTCTAGATTAAAAGTATTAATTTTTAAAATTTTAATACTGAAACTATGAATACTGCCGATAGAGGAAGGAAAATAAGAGTTCTATGTGTCTTGTTCTATGTCTTTTTTATTTCTTCGTGAACATTTATATGAAGTTTTTATGGCTACCAAAATGGATCATGATATCCAAGAAAACCAAAATATCTCATCTTGTCTGTTTCTTTGCTTGAAAATAATAAAAAGGTAAATACATTGAATAAAATTTGCATACAAATTATTGTTAATACCGTAACCAATATTAAAGATAGTTTTCTTAGTTTCGTTGAACTTTACTTAGCAACTACTAGTATGTGTTTTCATTTCATTTTGCGTATCCTAAAAAAGTATAATAAAAACAGTGTTAACGGAGCTTCTTATATATGAGCTTATCAAAATATATAATAGCATATATATGAAAACTTTAGCTCAAATAATTAAGTAAGATTCATAAGATAAGATTAAGTAAGATTTGAAAATTTTGCTAACTATTCTTCCCCAAACCATTGAAACAAATACATTTTCTAAAAATGTTACTATTCCGTTCTCACCTTTTACCTGATGCGTGTAGAAGATTCGCATCATAATGTATATTTTATGTCCGAATTATATACTTGCTCTAGTTAAGGGCAACTACCCGATATACATTTGCCCGGTATACCCTATATCAATGTATTTTAAAGGTTCAGTGCGACTGCCCGGTATGTCCTACATCGATGTTTTTTTAAAGTCGAGTGCCACTGCCCAATATGCATTAAATCGGGTCTCCGAACACTGATGTTTTATCCAATCTATCCCAAGATATTAAAATAGCGAATAAATAAAATAATATCAACGACTAAAGTAATATCTAATCGGATGTAACAAATATATCGGACATTCACCAAAGCGACTATGTGATTGTTGGCATTCACCGGTGAAAATCGACATTCTCTTGATTTCAGTCATTCACGGTAACAATTATGCTGTAAAATATTTGTCAGAAAGAAAAAGTTGTTATGAAAAGTATATATATATTAAGTATATATATATTAAATATATAAGTTAAGAATTACCAATGATAATTAGATTTTGTTTTGTTTCGCTAAAAAATTGTATTTGAATTAGTATGCATTTTTTTAAAAAAAATCTTTAAATCATACTTTCACGAATTGATAACACTTACATGAATGTGATAATCGTTAAATTAAAAACCATCTAAACTTTTTAAATTGTTAAGAAAAAATTATCTTTTAGGGTGTTAAAAAATGACTTTGAAAAATTATATTGAGGAGACACGTGGAAGTTAACGCGACTCCTAAAATAAAAACATAATATTCAAATAGAGAGATGATCTAAAATGAGTAATTAAGTTGATTAAGAATAGAAACAATTAACAGAATGCCAGCCATAATTAAATAATAATAAATTTAATAAAAGGATAACAATTAAGGTTACAAGTTAAGTTCTAGATTAAACATCGTGGCGGACAGGTTGTCCCAGCAATATACACAGGCGTCGTCACAGACCGAACTGAGAAGAAAAACAGGTGCAGTTAGGTCTGCAATCGTGATTGTCCTTATCGCCAACTGGCGACGTAAGTTTGCCACATTTCGGCGTTTAGCTTGAAATTGGCTTAAAAGCAGCAGCCGCTGCAATATGCTTACTACGCCTATGCTTAAACGAAAAAAAAAAAAAAAAAAAAAAAAAAAAAAAAAAAAAAAAAAAAAAAAAAAAAAAAAAAAAANTTAAAATCTGATAATTTAATTTCAGTCACGTATAGCATTTATGTAATCATACCAGTTAGACATAAAAGACCAGTTAGTATGCCACAGACTAAATGGAAAAGTAAGGATATTATTTGGATTACTAGATTTATTAGTTTGACTAATTGGATTGTTACTATTTTTCTAATTAATTATGAATCTATTTATGCTGCAATTATCCTCAACAGTGATTCCTAAGATTTTGATAAAATTCTGACTGAGACATTTATTTGCGAAAACAAAACATGAAGTTTTTAATCAAATTGCGACTTCATGTGCCACAAGCATTTTTAAAATATGTGAACAGAGTGTTCTGTTTCCTCGTTCTTCATATAAATTGTTTAAATATTTATTAAGAATTTAATCTAAATAGTACGCAATTAATGTACTATTTAGATTAAATTCTTAATAAAGTAACCTATAATTATAGGTTAATAGTTTTATGAAAGAAAGAAAAAACATTATTTAAATTGTAAAAGTTTCATTTTCTTTAATATATTGAAGAAAATGAAACTTTTGCAATTTAAATAATGTTTTTTAGTAAATAGTCTTTTTTATTTCGGAAAGATTTGCTTGCTGGTCCTGGTCCGAATATATTATCAATTGTTTCCACTCTTTTGACAATGTCAGTAAATTCTTCTTTTAAAATGTAAAAAATTCTTCAACGACTTATTTTTCAAAGAAAAAAAAAAAAATTCAGCTCTCCCAAAATTAAATTTTCTTTTTGTACACTCCTTTCTATTTTCATTTCATTGCTATAGGGATTTACTAATTTCATCACTAGATGGCAGCTCTGCATTAAAGTACACTCTACTAAAGGCTCTGTAAGTAGTTTAGAATTGTGAAATTAAATTATCAAATTAATTAATAATAAGTAATTAACTAAGTTAATACACATTTCTAAATCGAGTTAAAAGTTTTATTAACTCTAAAAGTAAAAATACAATTTATTGTCCATTTTTTATATTTTATTATATTGTTATATTCGAAATCAGAGCTAGTACAACTAAACACTCNTACACATACTAGTACAACTAAACACTCAACAAAAAAAAAAATGGTAGTAAATTTTTTTTAAACGCCAATAATTAGATAAACAACAAAAGTAAGGTAACCCCGAAAACCGGTTTTTCGTTGCCATCGGGAAGATAGGACCTTCACTTCCTATTACGGGTTCCTTATATCTACGGCACTACAGCCCGTTTTTACTGTTTGGATCGTGTGTGTAAAAGAACGCTCTAGTTTATCAGTGTTTAATTTGTTGATATTATTATCTCTCCTGCCAAAAAGAGCTGCCATCATATGACAACATTGTTGTCTGCCATCGTAATTGTGGTTTTGTTGTTTTTTTATCCCAATCAGCTTGTACTCTTAAAAACAACTGATTTCAGATACTCTAAGTAAAGATTCATTATAATGGCTGAAGACGCTCCTATTTATGGACCTTTTTTCGGTGTCATGGGTAGTGCAGCTGCTATGATTTTTAGCGGTAATTAACATATTTTGAATTGTGCTTATATTTTTTGTTTATACAGTTCATCTGGTGCATGTGTAGTGATAAAAAATTGTTTCCAGTCTAGGGCTGCTCAGTCTGCTTTGCATAAAAGCCACATTGGAGAATAATTTAGCTATCGAGAGCCATAATTTTGTCGTAATTAGCAATAAATTGATTATTCTTTTTGTTCAATAGGAGCAGCATTAATTTGTTATATAAATTAAGACAAAAGTGCTAGTGCAGCATTGCAAGAAGGTGGAGAAGCCGGAAGAAACTTGACAATATAGAAGTTGAAATTCACCAATTCAATTGTTTAACCAAAACTTATTAATGAATCTAGTTCAAATTTAAAACAAATAAAATTTAATGCAGCTCAAAAAAGTTTAAAATTTTTTTACATTCATTTATTTGCAATGTATAACTTTCATGTTATTTATTTAAAATCTATATAGCTTATTATATTAATTTATTTTGATTTAAAATTTTTTACTATTTTAAATAAATATGTAGGCGTATATTTAGATAAATATGTTCTATTGTATCTAAGTAAATATATACACTTGTATCTAGATGAATTGAGTGTAGTCATATTATTTACAGCTAAATATTCTGTTTAAAGGTGAAATCATCTAAAAAATTAATAAAATATTACTTGGTAAAGTATTAATTCCAAAATTATCTTTTTCTTTTAATTATTTTAATTGGTCAAATTTTTATTGTTCTTCTTAGGCTAATGCACTCTAGTAATTTTTGTTTTTATTTACTATCATTTAATAACTTTTCTTTTTCTTATTTATTTAACTATAAAATAATTACTAGCTTTTCTGCCTAAATTTATAATATTAATGTATCCTAAGAAAATGTAAAGTCATCATAAAATGGAGGAAAAAATCTTAGCTTAAACATTTATAATTGGAAGCTTACAATTTTCATCGTTTAAAATAAAATTTATAAGTTAAGACATAAATTTCAGCTGAAATCTTAAAAACACTTTGAAGTTGTTAACCACTTAATCACTAAATTATATAAGCTTTATTGAAAATGAAATTTCAGTAATTTATGAATATTTACAGTAAATTTTTTTTTGTAAATTATAACAAAGCAAGGTTTGGTTTTTGATGTGACATGACAAGTCAAAAACTTTATAAATCTGACAAAGACAGTAAAAAACCTGGGGCAAATTTCGTACATTTTATTAGTAGTTACATCATATAGAATACTTGCCTTATAATTAGGGTTCAAGATTTTTTTTAAAAAAATCATCAGATTTTTTTTATTCAAATACACTTTAATTCATGATTAAAAAACTTTATAATTGTTTAATCAAAATTAAATTGTTATTAAAACTATATTATAATATTATTTTAGAAGGTCTAACTTACTAAAATAATTTTTTATTATAATACATAGCTTTGAATGCATAGCAACAATTTTGAAACAAATGCATGATTAAAATTTAAAGACTAGATGAAATAGAGAATTTAAAGAATACTTCAGGGGTCTGTCTAGTTTTTTCTGAGAGATACCTATTTTGTGAAAATTTACTCATAATTTGTGAAAATGAAAAATTATGTTAAAAAATCAACGCAAATATGGTTAAAATATTGGATTTATTGTTTCTTACGAGACACAAAAATAAAATTTTGAGAAAAAAGTATTTTGTGAAATTATTCTAACGTTTTTCCTAAAGTTGAATTTGTGAAGGTACCGCTAAACGGTAGTAAATTTGGCTTGGACAGACCCCTGTACTTTAGCTATTAAAACGAAGTTTCATTTAGCATAGGTACCATAATTTTAATTTAAAATTGTGATTTTTTTTCCGCTTGATTTTTAAAATGACAAAATAAATGTATCATATTAGATTGTGTTTATAAATGTAGTCATTCATCAAAAAATAAATAAATATTTAATCTATATATTTTTTATTAAAATATTCATTTTTATTTCTATATCAAAATAGCTAATAAATAAGTTGAGCTAAAAAATATTTTTAAAAAAGATCTATGTACTCATTGGAATTTTTTTCACAAAATTTCTTTATAGAAAATTAGATAATGTCAAAGATACTGTAAACATATTATGAGAAAAAAATACCAGTTACTAACCCTATTGCTTCAAATAGAGTTTGAAAAGGAAGAATGACACTAGATCAGGAAAAAAAAAAATACATGAATTCATCAGCTTATTTTTTTTCTCTTCCTATTTTTGTCATATTAGGGTAATTTCTATTTAATATAATCTCAAGCCTGATTAACCTGAATTGTATACATTGAATAAATTATTACTTACCTTTTATGTGTTGACATATTTGAAAAATAGCTACGTAAATATACTAAGAAATAAAACATAGTTGGTTAAATAATTTTTTATTTAAACAAATAACTAAAATTTAAATTTCAGCACTTCTTTCTAGACATTTCTGTTCCAGTTCAAAAATAATATTTGAAATTTCCATTTTTACTTGTAATTGCAATACTTTTGGAAAATTTTTTACTGTTATGGCAAAGGGGTTAAATAAAATGTTTATTTCATCCTTCTCATCTTTCTGTCCCATCAGTGATTTTAGAGCTTCAGTCCGCTCTTTTCGAGCAGACTGAAATTCTAAAAAAAATCTTTCTTTTTGGGACAACCTGCTATCCCGTTCCTTATGCTCCTGTTCTTCTTCTCCCTTTTTACCATTCTTAGAACTATTGCTGCTGGATGCATTTGAAGGTATATCTACACAGTCTCTAGTAGTTGGATCTAGATCGTAACTATATTCAGTTTGAAATTCTCTCTCTTCATTAAACTCTCGAATTTCTTCACCAGCCTGTGAATCAAATTCTTTCTGTGATTCTTCAACAAATGAGCAATTTTCAACATTAGAGATTGTCCTGCAATAAATTAATAATAGTGTTTAAAAGACACTCTTCATAATAAAGATTAATAATTATGTTTTAGAAAATAAATTAGCTTCGTAAACTACAAAAGTGCCATAGTCTCAGAATGAGGAAATAAGCATAATTTACTTCTGATGTTTTTTCTCGTATATAAAATTAGAATAATTTATATATTCCTAACTTATCTGTCTAGAAAAAATTAAAGCACTTAACACATTTTATGAAATAAATTTATTTCATAAGCTTAAATGTCTGAATAATAATAATATCTTTCATAAGTCTAAAAATATATATTTCAAATAATACTCCACCCTTATCAGATAATGTAATAAAGCTATCTTTAAACTAAATCTTAAATTTTACTCATTTCTATTAAATTAATAGAATATATAATTATTAAAACACGGGCATCAGTTGCTATATCATAGGAGTGTTTTAAAAATATTGTATGGAAATATATGCTAATAAAAATGTATGTTTATAACAGTAATACTTGTCCGGACAAGTAGTTACAAATAGCTGGAAACTTACTGATAACATGACAGAGTTTGGTTTGTCAGCATTTGTTTGAATAGTACGGTTAGTAGATTCTTTTAAATTTTTTTTTCGTGCAGCTGAAAATGCCACTATTTGTCTATTGCATGAAAAAATGTTTTCTTAAACAAAAGCTATCCTACTTAGCTTTATGTAAATTACAGTCTACAATTTTGATTAAATTAGTCTATACATCATATTATAAATAAGACTTACTCATTAATTAACAAATAGGTTCCATCTAAAAACCTTAATGAATCTAGTCTTTGAAGATCAGTGCTGCACTTTCTTTTTGCAGCTGAACCAGTTGGTAATTTTCTTTTATTTCTCGTGTAACAGTCTCTGATGGTCTTCCATTTCTTTTTTAGCATTTCCACTAAAAACAGATAGGTACAATGAAGTTTAGTGAAGAGGATTTATATAAATTAGAAATGGTGATAAACAAGCTAAAACAAATTTGAGTGTTTTACAAACTGATTGAACAAATAGTTTTAAAAAATAAACCATCTTTAAATGCTAAATTACCTACATGTACAATTGTGGGTGAAAATTTCAAGCTTATAAAACAAATTGAAAAGAATTTATAAAAAATTAAGCTACTTCTCATACACATAAAGTCACAATTTTCTAATTGCACTGGTATCTGAAAATTTGCAAATTTGTAAAAATATGATTTAACTTTTGAACACCAGTGTGCAAAGTCATATATAAATATATTAAGAGTAATTGTTTTGTCATAACGGGTGATATAATTTGTTTTGTAACTTAAAGAACAAGATAAATAAATTAAAAAATTTTCCTCCCCACTCACATACAAGTTTGCGACTATGGAAAAAGTTAACCCATTGATAAAATAAATTATTCCCTGTTTAAAAAAAAAAAAAATGGTTCAATCTTTATAAATTTATCAACAGAATTCTTAAGTCAAAGAAAATATTTCATTCTTATGATATAAATTTGAAATTGTTTTATCTGCATAAAATAATTGAATAAGTTACAATTTTAAATATATAAATAAATATTTACTAACCTGCAACTCCAAGTTCTTCCGCCATTTCCAGCCATAGATTATTTTTTATAATCGAATCTTTGTATGATTTTGTTTTTACAGTATAGAGGAGAGGTCTCTTTTTCACTTCTGAAATCAATTTTTCTTCAAAATATTCATTACATTCCGCCATATCTTCGATTTACTTTATAACGTTAACCTCAACTGCACGTGGGAATCAGAACGAAGTGGACTCGTGCGGCAGGTAACGACAAGACTTGGTGTCTGATGACATATTCTGACCATCCCCCAAATTGACCAATCAAAGGTTGATGCTCACTTGTCGCTGACGTTCGGCTGCGCTTACTGTTCTAACAAACCATTACTTCAGGTGTATCAGTTTCTTCCATGCAGCTGATACCCAGTTTGCTACTTCAGTAATCCTCAAACTTCTGTTTTTTGTGTGCATTCCCGAGACTATCCACTTCTCTCTCATGTATAGGCTATCTGCGCTCCTAGAAAGTCATGAATTTTGCTATTGAACAAAATTTGTCATGAAAGGTCATGATTTTAATTAGTATTTAAAAAAAAAATCATGAACTGTCATAGATTAAGGTCGCCAAAAAATCTCATTTTTAAAATGAAATTACCCCTGCCCCCAATTTCATGGTTGGTGTTCCAAATATCTGAATTCGTAAGAAAATCTCCACTCACAGTCATATTTTATTAAAATATATAATGTTTTTATCATGTTCCTTAAAAATTATGGTGTTCTTTCAAAAAATTAAATAAAAAACATTTCTGGAACAAACTATCTTTTAGACTTCTGTAATTTAAGAATTTTTGTTATTTTTTTTTATAAATTTAAAATTCTAGCTGAAGCAAGCAAGTCATTGGCAAATATTTTTAATTCCAAAATGAGAACAGAAAAATCGGGAGTATTTCTTTCCTTTTCGATTAACAAGGAAAGTATCTTTCGAATATAATTCTGCAGAAAAAAGAAACTAATATATTTTCTTTTGCATTTTTTTCAGTTACTTTATTGCTTCAACTTTTTCTTTACCCTGTTTTTTAAATTTAAGATCTTCAAATATGAAGATGCAGATTATAACAGTTTTGGTTATACGTATCATTTCAATTAATGTCATTATAATGCTTTTTTAAATTTATTGCTGTGTTTTTGTTGGGGAAAATAGTAACTTTGTTAAGTCATGAAAAATTCTTGGAATTAGTTAATGAAAAGTCATGAATTTGAAAATCTAAAATGTAGCAGCTATCCTCTATGTAGCCTTTGAAGTTTTTGTTTATTGTTAAGTCTAAAGGTTAGGATCTTTTGTCAAACTCTTTAGAATTGTAGTCAGGGATGCAGAACTCCACTTAGCTGGGTGGAAAAACACCTTTTATTCTATGCAATACAATACTTATCCTGTCTAGCATAAGCCTTTCTCCCGTCCAGACCTTCACATTATATAGCACTATAACATGTGATCGTCAACGTCGTTTTTATTTTGAAAATTAACATGGGTGAACTTATAGCCACTTACAGTGCATGCCCACAAATGACGCCTTCTCATTGCCTGTAGTGGCTACGGTAATCAATATTTCACTAGTTGGATGAACTGTCCTGTTGGAAATATAATCGAACGTTAATGGGACTTTGTCCATGTTTATTAATTGTGAGTCCTTGAAATTTTTTTCTGCAATTAATTTTCTCAAGAATTACAGAAATGCTGCCTTCTTCCCTTTCCATTCCCTGCTAGTTTCTGTCTGCTTCTTAGTAAATCGGAAACATCAATCCTGCTGATTTATAATACATTCTTTCAGACCAGTGTACAATGCTGCTTCTCCTTGCTCGTTTAGTTTTTGGCATGTCTTCGAGGATAGATTTTTTAGTTTTTAAATTATGCACAAATATAATAGTGATGTGAACAATGATCAATTAAGAAATGCAAATATGAATAAGAGAAGCTCTCAAAAAAATTTCCATTAGAAGAGCATAAGGACAGCCCACTTTAGAAAAAAAAGGGAGAATGATACTTATTTTAAGCAAAATACCTGAAAAGAGACCACAGGTAAGTATTGTTGGCTATACCATTATGTCAGGTGTCAAGTAGCTTGGTTGGGGGGAGGAGGAAGTAAGAGTTTGATAACATATTTATAATTTATTTACAAGAACTATATTTACAGGCATTAAGTTGTCTCATCGTTCTGCCCGTCTGACTTTCTTGGCGCGCATTTCTACCCTCTCTGTTACATCTGTGTATGCACATAATTAATACTGCCAGTCTAATCACCAATCATTTTCTTTTAAATTTAAATGAAATTAAAGCTTAGTGTTAACAGTACTAAGTTCCTAACTCCCACTACACATGGTGCGTAGAATTTTTAAAAAGTGCTGAAAGATGCTTATTTTTGATTTTAGTTTTTTAAAAGCCCCTAAAGGTGCTTTTTTCATAGGGTCTTTTTAAAAAGTGGTTAATTTTCCCTTTAAAAAAAGGAGATTTTTTTTACCATGTCAATTTCCGCCATGTATTATGCAAAAGCGTGCTTTTCGCATTTTTCATAAAGTGGTTGTAAATTAAGTCTTGTTAATTTTATCTGTAAAATGTGTTTCATCTTACAGTAAGTGAGTGATCCATGTTTCACAAGTTTTTTATTCTCTGGGTACCAAGCTTTAATCAATTCATTTTAGAGATCTTCGCTAAAATAATGTTATAATTATTTACATAAGGACATGCCATTTTTCCATAGATCCATGGAATTCCGATTTTTTTTTCTTTATTGATTTCTATCATAAATTTAACAATTCTGAAATTGCATTTAGTTGTTTCAAAAACTCCAATTCTTTTAATTTGATTAACAATTCAATGTATACAGACATTTTAGATGTAGTAAACTGAGGGTCATTCACAAATTGATTTTTTTTAAAAAAATAAATATATTATATTCAAAACTAGTGAAACAGATTAAAAATATTAAACCAAAATCGAATTTGCAAAAGAATATTAAATTTTAAAATTGTTTCATGATAAAAAATTACTCCAATTGAGATTTTAATAAGTAATGACAAAAATCTTAATTTAAAATAAGTTTACTCAAAATGTTTATAGTTTTTTATTTTATTTTATCTATTTTATTTAATATAATAATTTGTTTGAAGTTCTATTATAGTTCATAGTTTCAAAAAACTATTTTTGAAGTTTTGTTACCATACAAAAATCAGCTTTTCTTTCCAAATCTGCTGTGGCATGACTGTACGTACCTTATATTGGTTTTTACCTTTTCTTTGGCTATCTATTGTATGAAAGTTGCAATTTTTTCAATATCATATTGATCAAATAAGTTTCTTCAATTCTTTATCGAAGAAACCAATTTCTTTTGGGCAATTTATTCCACTTTTAAAGAAACCTCTAACCTTTTGTAAAACAGCTTTTAAATTTTTTAAAATTTGCATTTTTTAAATTTTAAATAATGATTTTTATGTATTTGTTACAGCCCTTGGTGCAGCATATGGTACGGCCAAATCTGGTACTGGCATCGCTGCCATGTCTATCATGAGACCAGAGCTGATTATGAAATCTATAATCCCAGTTGTTATGGCTGGTATTATTGCTATTTATGGACTAGTAGTCGCAGTATTAATAGCTAATAATATAAAATCTCCTAAAGAAGGGTATAAGTTGTACAAGTAAGTTTTAATAATTTTCTATACTTTTTGATTTGAAAATTCATTTAAAAAATAAACTGTATAGTAAATTTTTTTCATTAATTGGAAATCTGACTATTGTATGAATTGATACGAATGAGTCCAGTCACAAAATCTAGTTCCACCATAATCAAAAATCTCGTTTACAAAATTGATTTGTTATCCATTTGCGTTCGATGTTTGGCAATTTTTTTTTCTCACCAACCATCTTTGGTGAATTTTTATTGCTGCCACATGCCAAAGTTGAAATCAATCTTTTAAATTAAAAGTACATTTGTATTATCGTCATTTTTAACGACAGAAAACTTGCATCAAATACAGAGTTCATTCTCAAGGTTCAATCTAGGGAAAAATAGGATCCCTTTACAAAAACCTTTCACAAAATTCAAATTTCTAAAAACTGACCCTTTACAAAATTTTGACTCCTAAAAATGAATATTTCGCGAAATTCCAAATAATTTAAGCAGACCTTTCACAAAAATCTATACAGATCTATTATATCTTAAAATGTGTTTTATTACATCTCAAAGGTAATTTTTGTCAACATAAAAACATAAATTATTTTCTGAATCATGACAAAAATAGTCTTCTTCAACATCTATTGAAACGAAAGAAAGGCTATAATGAATATGGATCCATGACATTATCAGATAATATTCAGTATAGAATAGAAAAAATCAAAGGCGTAGTTAGATAATGTAGACGCATGTCATGCATGGATACATCCTTGAAAGTTCTTAAATTTTGCAGATACTTTTTAGATATTTGCTCGAGTTATTGTGTTTTTGTAAAATAGCGAAATTTTTGCATTTTAAGAAAAACCATAAAGTCTGCTGTCTCCTCGGAAAGTTCCGATTGTTCTTGTCTTCAACAATCCAGATTTCTTGATGCTCTCAATTAGTTAAAACATAAAGCAACTTATAAAATTCACCTTGTGATTTGCATTGAAGATGTCTAGAAATCACAATTCATACCAACAATTTTGCTGCTAATTATGTACCAGCGTCTGACGAAATTCTCTCTAGTAGTTTATGTTGATAAAATAGATCACAAGAGACATATTAACACCCTACTATTTTTGCAAACATTTTCTCCCAACAATAATATTGTTTTTTGAAATAAACTTACTGGAATTTTAAAATCTAAAATGGTTGCTGAGGAAAGAAAATTTAACTTTCATTTTATTTTTTATCGATTATCACTTTTCATGATGGATATAGCATAACCACCAGTTCTTGGCTGGCAATGAACATGTTAAAATGATTTATCACCATCGTGATCTTTGATTAATATTCATGTAATTTACAACTTCACATGTTTTTCGAATCATATTTGTTGCTATGTGTATTGAATTGATTTACAAATTGCAATTTTCAAATAAATCGCTATTTGCAAATCACAATTTATCAAATATTGCAATATGTTTCCCCTTGATTTCAAAATTGTGCATTACCATTCAAATTCATGTGATTTCAAAATCAAAAATCAAGGATTTGTATTCTCACAGTTTAAAATTTTATATCGCTATTAGTAGGCGCAAAATTTAAAAATCTAATTTCAAGATTCAAATTCACTCGACAAACAAACATCAATTTTTGGAATTATTATGTGATTTAAAAGTTAAACATTGTGTTTCACATTCACACTTTTTAAAAATTTGATATTGCTATTCAAATTCACGCAATTTAAAAGTTACACAGGAATTCATTCTAACAGATTTTTAAAATCCAATATCGCAACTTGTATTCACACGATTTTAAAATGAAACATCAAGATTCATATTCACTCAAGTTATTTTAAAAAGTTTGCAAAACTAAGTCTATGGATAAAAAGCAAAGAAAGAATGCATTTTGTATAATTCAAAACATTTAAATTCTATGTCCATACAGATAATAATTTTAGAATATTTTCATGAAGCTATCTTTTACTATTCAAGAATGATCCTTTTCTGTGTCCTAGTGATCTGTATCTAACAATCTTAATAGTTAGTTATGAAATTTAACTTTTTTTATTTCTTAAAATAATATGGTTTATAGTTTTGATGATTTTTATTCATTTATATTTTAATATGTTAACATTTCATGAAATGTCATTAAAAAGAAATAAATCTATTTCTTGTCATTTTAAAAAATTATAAAAAGAATCATTTTAGTATATTGTCAGGAATTAAGAATTATAAGTTGGGTTTTAAAAAATGGGTAAATTTATTTATTTAAATGTTATATATTTCCATTGTGACTGTTAGTTTAAATATTACAATCATAATTTATATAAATGTAATTTTTTTACAAGAAATAGAAATATGTTGAATTATTTTCACAAAATTTTCTTATGTTTTTTACAAAATTCCATAAACAGGATCCTGGCAAAAAAATCAAGAGTTTTAATATTTTATTATTTTAATAAATAGTTTAAATGAAACCAAATAAAGAAACTATTAAATTTTCTCATCAAAATTCTCCACTTTTCAGTTCAATGGAAATTTATATTTTATTAAATTAACCTAAATAAATAATTTTTAAATGTTTAAACATAGCTTTCCTGCAAATATATGTAAAAAAATAATTGATGTGAGCGAAAAGCTCTAAAAATGCTTAACATTTCACATCATCAAATTAATTTTCTGAGTGTTAACGATTATATTAGTTAAATAATGTAATTAGTTTAAATAAAAAGTTAGAGAAACTAACTTTTTAATCTCGTTAAAGACACATCATGCTTGTGAAAAAAACGAGCATAAATCTAAAGATGTACTTGCCTGTTTCATTTACTTTTCAGTTCATGTGTAGAATTTTTTATATTTTTTACTATCAGTAAAAACAAATTTGCATTCTATTATGACTAAACTCATTTTTTTAAAATTTTCAAAATAAATTTGTTCAGGGTGCTTAGCATTTTCAATTTTTTTTTTAAAAGCCCTTAAAGTTGCTTTCTTCATTATTTTTTTTTTTTTTTAAAGTGCTTTATTTTCCCTTTTTCAGAATGAGATTTTTCCTTTACTATGTTGATTTTCGCTTCGAATTATGCAAAAAAACAGTTCACATTGTTCTATTCAGCGTTTTCACAATTAATTCAACCCCAATCTATTTCGGCGTATTGTCAGTCCGCAGCGTACGAAAACGCCATTCGTTTTTACATAATTCAAAATTTCATGATTTTTGACAAACAATGCCAAAAAAATTTATACCATAATTTTTACAGTAATATTTTTTTATTAAAGTGATTCAGTCGTTTTACGGTAATTGTTACTGTAAAAATTTGAGTATATCATATTTTTTGTTCCGTAACAAGTTCCGGTAAAAATGCATACTACAATGAAAAGTAACGGAACCTGAGTGTCGATACTTTTTATCTTAATTTGAACCAAAAAGTTAGTTCATTAAGATATGACCTATACTTTTTATCTTAATGAACCAACCTTAATTTGAAAAAAAAAGTGTAATTAAAATATTGTGTGATCATTTAATTGCATAACTTTTTATTTAGATGTAATAAGCTGTGTATAGTAAGAAAAAAATGATGATTAAAACAAGATAAAACTGTCAATTGTCAAAAACTTTCCAACCCTGCCTAACTATGATATTTTTTTAAGGTGCTTAAAAATATTTTCTGAGTAGTTAAAAGGTGATTATTTTTTGTTGAATAATTTGGTTATGCACCCTGTTGTTGTATTCAAAGCAATTCTAATAAGAAACACTCAGAGTTCACCAGGGTTAAATTACTTGGTTTAGATCATAATAAAAATCGCAATTTGAACCTTTTGATTTTTTTTTTCAATCATTGATTTAAATCATCTGTGATTTTTTAAAAGCCATTAATTAAAAAGATTTAATTGTTTTACAAAAAATTATTAATTTAATCATAAAAATTATGTTTATACAATGTAATTAATAAATACATTATTTTGGGTCCGATTTTTTTAAGTCTGATTTCAGTGATAATGATGGTATTTTATTAAGAAATAAGGAAAGGGATATGCATGTAAATTATCTTCACCTTCATATCCCTTTAATTATTTTATGAAAAAAAAAAAAAATTTTTTTTAAAAAAATCCATTTGAAAAGATTTTATTAAACTAATTATAAGCATAAATTATTTTTAAAACATATAATAATAAAAACATTTTTATGTTGTGATTTTTTTTAAAGTTCGATTTCATTGATAATGAAGGTTTTCACTAAGAAGTAGCATGCAAATTTTTATATCTACATGCATGTCCCTTTCATTATTTTATTAAAAATACATTGATATAAATCAACAGTGATTTTTTTTTAAAAAAAAATCATTAATTTAAATAAGCTGATTTTTAAAAAATTTCTTACTTTAAGTATAAAATATCTTTATACTATGTAATTTGCATAAACATTATTTAGGGTATGATTTTTTAGAGTCCTATTTCGTGAATAAGGTTATTTACTAAATAATAAAGGGGATATATAAGTTAATTATTATATTTTAAAAGAGATTAAAAATAAAAGTAAAAAAATGAACTAAAGGTGAATAAAAGTGGCATTAAACTTTTTTGTTATGATTTTCCATTAAATGTGTGTAAAATAGTTTTTGGGGCGAGAAACATATTTCAATTATACCTATTAAGTTTAATGCTTATTAGAATGCAGTTGGTATATGTAGCTCACATATATCAGGACTTGTTCTTTTTAAAATAGTTTTTTTTTCCAATAATTTTTTTTTATTATTTAAACTAATTTAGTTTTCATTGTTATATAATTAACAAATAGTATACCAATCTTTAGTTGGTCTTGAAATATTTAATTTATTCAATGGTTAATTTTTAACAATTAAATAATAATTTTAACCATCTTAGTATAATAAGAAATATTAGCTATTTTAGCTGTTGTTTGGTTTTTAAATAATCTGAAATATTATTGAAACATTGTATTTGATGCTTTGATTTGTAAATGTTGAAAAAACTGATTTAAATAAAACTTAAAAAAAAAAGAAAATCAGACTTAAATCAAAAAAATCCTTTTTTCCCCCCAATAATTCACGATTTTTTCCAACCCTGGAATTTATCTACAATATTTAGATTGTCTTTCATTTTATTTAATGCTGCATTATGTTAATAAGCAAAGTGCTGGCCTTGTAGTGGAATAAAGAAAAAACCAGGAAATTTTTTAGTACGATATAAAACCAGGACATTTTTTAGTACAAAATATTTGTTCCAGTTTATTTACAAACAACAAATTAAAAAAAGTATAATTTGCATTAAAAAATATTTTAAATGGGGTTTCAATAATTTTTAAACGAAAGCACTGTGAATATGCATTTTAGCATTTGTATTCAAAAGTGCTTTTCTGTATGAACTATTAATTTAAAAAAAAAAAATTGGATCAAAAATTCAAATCTTTTGATTATTCAAACTGATTATTTTAGGAAATGTATTAGTAATCATAGAAAATGTGATGTTTTGAACACACACAAATCAGAAATATCTGGAAGAAAGGCTAAAAATAAAGGACAAATAACAGCAAAATAATTTTTATAAGGAAACTCAGAAATTTCATGACAACTACAAACTCTGATATTAGTAAACTTAAACACTATTATGTCAAAATAAATGGGGGAGGAAAAAAAGCATTGTATACTTTTTAAAGCTTTAATAGGAAATAATGGTTAATATGAAATGTATTGCCTGAAATATTTTAAAATTTGTATTGATTCAATGGATTTAAAAAAAAAAAAGAAATGTACCTTTCATAATGAAATATTAATATTATAAATTCATAGATGCCAACTCTATCGATTTTCCAGTAGACTACTGGATTTTGCCAGTATCGCCTGGTCTACTGGTTTAATTGAAATTCTCCTGATTTTTGAGCATTTTAGAAAATTCCCTTAAACTGGGTATGTTTCCTGAAGAAAAAAAACAATATTGAAATAGAATTTTTGTACAGATAATTGCTTGGTAGCTTGGATATTTAAGTAAGTATTACTAATACATAATGAAGCGAACCTCATTTTTAGAAATCAGTTCAAAACTTTTTTTGTTCTAAAATATTCAGTTTATTTTTATTCAAAACTGTTTTTAAATTAATTGAAAAAATCTTCAAACTGTCTTTGATAAATTAAATGCCTATTAATATTCGAAATTATGAGTAAACATATTGCGTAATGTTTAAAGTATGTTTAATGTCAGTCATAATTGGAAATTGCAGTTTTTCTATTTGGGTGAGTATAAAAATCTCTAAAATTCCCTTTGGGTAAAATATTTAATACATTACGCAACGATTATCATGAAATTTATACTATTTCGTAAAATCTATTGGGTTTTTTTCCTATCCATGTTGGCAGCTATGTAAATTGTATTCAGCTAAATTTTATAATAGATAATTATATTTTGATAGGAATATTTTAATCCATTCAAAAACAAGGTATACATGAATTGGTTTTACTTCCAATCTTTTCTCTTTTTTTCCGGAATATAAATAGCCATGTAATTGAAAACACATTATTTTAATATTTTAATTGGAACATGAATTCCTTTACGGGGTGAGTAGCATTTTTAATAGGTGCTTATTTTTTATTTACAATTTTTAAAAGCTCTTTAGTTCATTTTTTAATCAGAAATTCACTAAATTTATTCAGTTTGGAAAAAGTGCTTAATTTTCTATCTTTTAAAAAGAATTTTTTCATTGCCTCATGGATTGTCGTTCTAAATTACAAAAAATGCTGTCGTTCTAAATTACAAAAAATGCATGATTTTCACTATTTTCTCTGCAATATTTATCAGAAACTAGTTATTTTATCATGATTATGTAAGGTTTTTGAAAATGCTTTTGAATTTTATTGATTTTATGTTTATAAATTAAGAACTTGAAATGATAGAAAAAAATAATTTTTATTGCTGCACAAATCCTAATTATGATTTCATTTTGGAAAGTGATTAAAAAGTTTTTTGAGTGCTTAAAAAGTACTTAAAAGGTGCTTATTTTTTGTTGAAAAATCTGACTGTGCAGCCTATTTTACTATACATGCAGCTAATTCTATGGTATTTCTAAGGTAAGGTTATAAGATGACTCTAAATTAATTTATGATGAGTGATTAAATATCAGTTGTGACATATCATCTGTAATTCAAAAAATACATAATGAATTTAAAGTCTTGCAATGAAATTTTTTAATTATGTAATGTACAACTCATGATTTGAGATTTATAAATTACAAACAACAATGCCTATTTTTCAAATCTTATATAAATCTTGATGTGTTTAAAATAAAAATTTAATAGCAATAATTTATTTCTTTAATAAATTTATTTTGCGATATACCCTATGTGCAGTTGCAAAAGAAATATGATAATAGAAATTCAAATGTAATAACAATGAAAAAGTTTCTTATTTAATTCTATTGTGGTGGTTGGTTGTGTTCAGGAGATGAATTGATAGAGTTTTGCATTAATTTAGTATTTATTTACATTTAAAGTATTAAGTATAAAGAAGAGTAATCTAAACGAGCCTAGAGCCTCATGCTACAGTGACAGTTAGGATTCTTCTGGCGGATGAGAAGTAAGAGATAAAGTTATTGATCGTAACTGTCTCGGTTACGATTTAGTTGAGTCGCTGCACTATCAATATAATATTGTTTATGCTTTCAAAACTAAGGTAAACTATGTGGTATCAAGCTATTGTGGCAATTGGGTTATAAAGAAATAAGAATTTTAGTTGAAAAATAATAAGTAAATGAATGTAAACCCTAGCAAAATTTTTTCCTTGACCCCAGTTGGGTGCAAAATTGGCTCAATATGAGTCCTATATGAACATGCACCAATCAACCAATATTGGGATGTCTAGATTTTTTGATATTGGTCTTATTTAGGGCCAATATCGTCCTATATATTACCAATATAGGGCTTATACTGATGAATAATGAATATAAAATATCATTTGAATCTAGCAGTTCTATATAGGGCCGATATTGTTCGTACAGTGGCTGTAAAATATCGTGAGAATCAGACAATTCTATATAGGGCCAATATCCTTATTGAGCCAAGATTCGTGAATCCATTGAGGGCCCAAGTTATTTTGCTGTTAGGGAAGAGTAAAATCATGTTTCATTTTTAATGTATTCTATCAACTGGTCATGTAAAGTTGCTCACTGTAGCCATTGTGAACATACTGAAATAGAAAGCTTACATTGACAAAATAAACCAAACTAGAGAATTACAGTTAATAAACATTATTTACAAAATGTTGATGTTTGTTGATCTTCCCAAGTTAGGGTGTGAGAAGGTATTGTACTGTGAAATTAGAGTGAAATCATCTACAGGGACTTCGATTGTTCTATAATGTACTTCGTAATTTTGAGCACCTTCTGAGTTAGAGTTTATAAGTAGAAGAATCGTTTTGTTTATCTTTTTAGAAAATGTATTTTAAAAATGAATTTGTGCTTTGTTGAGCTTAAAAAGAACTGCAATTAAACAATTTTTGAAAAGAAACAATTATATTTATTTTAATATTTTTTTAACTCTTTCACTTTTCAATTTTTATCGAGATGAAAATTGCTTTTTACATTTATTTTCTTAGGGGAAAAATAATTAAAGAAAATTTTTGAATTTCTATCAGAAGCAATGTTGTACCTTACAAGCAACATCAGACGAATTCTCACCAAAGAAAAGACTTTTCTTATTTGAATTTATGATGTAGAGATTTTCTTAATATACGTCATATTATAAATAGGAAAAAATCAGCTATACGCATTATTTTTAATTTAAAAAGGGGTTAGTATATGCATCTGCATATGTTGAAAATTTATCTAAACACTTGTTTAATAATTAATGAGCAGGAAAAATAGACTTGCAGAGATAGTTAAACAGGGTTGCCACTCCACAGGGAGAACAGGGAAAACCTGGATTTAAAAATCACCTGAAATAACAGGGAAAATGCAGGGAATTTTGAGTTTTTCTTTAGAAACTGGGAAAATACAGAGAATTTTGTTTCTTATTTTCGTCTTTTTAAAGATGGTAACCACTCAAAGGAATATTTAAGGATGATATTTCAGCTTTATTAAACTAGTTCACTCACTATAGCATTATTTGTTTTAAGTATGTTCAACGATTCCTTTTTTCCTTAAGTTTTTTCGGCAATTATAACTAGTATAGTTAGCCCAATATAGCTCATAAAAGAGCACAGTGATTATGTTTTTCCTCTTAATATATTGTGTATAATATGTACAGGGAAAACATAGGGAATTTCTTTTCCAGATTTGAGTGGCAACCCTGTTAAATGAAAGCGGTGTTGTAATGTTAAAGTATTTATGGCAAACATAATTAAAAATTGATTTGGGGTTTTAGGATTGAAATATTTAGTTTTGGCTATGCTTGATAACAAGAATTTTAATTCATTTTTTATTACAAGAACTACAAAGTTATTAAGAATTAATCGTAGGACATATAAATAAAATATCTGAGGACGTACTGCCTATTCAGAAACAGGATCTTTAGTGCAGAAAACTCTAAATAGTATTAAAAATATAATTTTAATTTTGACTTTTATCAGTGATATATTTTTCTATTTTCTGTTTGATTAAAATTTTTGTGAGGCAGATTTAAAACAATAAATCTGAAATAGTTTTCAGAACGTAAATTGATGTGTGCATACCTCTTTTCGAACTTTTCCCCAAAAAATATTTCTGATGCCCAAGTGTTTACTTCATTAAATATATTTCTTTTAGTGGATTTCTTCACTTTGGTGCTGGTCTATCTGTAGGCCTGAGTGGTTTGGCAGCAGGATTTGCTATTGGAATTGTGGGAGATGCTGGTGTTAGGGGGACTGCTCAGCAGCCTAGACTCTTTGTTGGAATGATTCTTATTCTTATTTTTGCAGAAGTGTTAGGATTGTATGGACTTATTGTCGCTCTAATACTCACTACTAAGCTTTAATTATTTTAGAAATTCAATTTAATGTTCCCATATTGATAATCAAAATTTTGTTCAAAATTAGTTTTCTTTGATCATTTATATCAGGTAGGTAAAAAAGTTTCTTCCAGATCAAAAATATGTTAAAAGAAGTGGACTGAAACTTGTTCATTATGTTTTTATAATTACGGAAATTGTCCTAAAAGCTTTTTTTATTATATGAAATAATACAGTTTTGCTAATATGTGATTAATTAAAATTGTGCTAAGATAAGTTTGTTTGTAAAATTGTTGCGCTAAGATAAGTTTTGTTCAATATTAGCTGATACCTAATGATCATAATAAATTTTAATATGAAGAAAAGCCATAGTTTCTTAAAAATAAATAGCATTAGTGAACTTATTTTATAAGTTAAAATATAAATCACATAAAAGAAGAAATAATAATTCAACATACTTAATAGTCTTTTTGTGCAACTTCATAACTCATGTTAGTCAGATTTTAAGAGTTCAAAGTGTAGCCTTGTTTTCAATAGCGTAGATCTGTTATTGAGCTTAATTTTTTTACATTTATATACAAATATGACATTTATCTAACATATTTTATTGTATTTGGGTGTATAAGCAGACTGCAGTTTTTATCTGTGTTGTTACTAAGACATATACTTAAGATTTATGCTTTGTGTTCTTGTATAACAATTGTGATCTAATATTATAATGAATGAAAATAAAAGGCAAAACTATGAAAAAAAGTTGAGCATTTTAGTATGGGAGGGTCTTGTACATTAGGAATTTTTTTTTCTCTCTCTCACACAAATTATTGAAGATAGGCGATATAATATATTGTAAATATAGTATATATAAAAAAAGCATTATTTTAAATTTGTAGCTGTAGTGTATCTACCACTACAAAATTACAATTTCAATTCACTAGTATATAAGACATGTTAACTCGTTTCTATGTCCGGGTACCTTTTCATAGAATAAGGTTGACATTGTCAATAACTACGATCCCCACAGTAGCCAATTGAGTAAATTTTTAAGTTAGGTCAGAATGTGACCATTCTTGCTACTGTTATATATTTAAAGCTTTAAGTTAATTGATTTTTTTTCCTCATTTTCATTGGCTTCATATTTAAAAAAAAATGGTATCAAAATATGGGGTATACTGGAAGAAACTTTTTCACAAGCGTAATATTTTGTACTTTCTTGCATATCTTGAAAAATGGGTGTTATTTCAGATCAAGTACACTAAGGTATTTCTTTCTGAACTTATTATGGATAGTAATAAATGTGTTGTTCAGTTGCAAAACTGGCTTTCTCCAATTCATAAAATTTTCAGGGAAAGCTCATTTTCTGTAACACTTAAGCAAAATGAGATGGTTCCCAAACTCTTTGGTTTAACACTAGTCATAGCAACACTTAATCTATACCTATTTCTACCATAGCTGGTCAAATAACTGGACTTTTTGTTTCTTGATTGAATGAGGAAATATGGATGTTAGGAAGGAAGCAAACTAAAAAAACTCTATTATAATTAACAAAATTGTGTATTGCCAATTTTTATGTATTACAAACACAAAAAATAAGAATTTTTAGTTCATTGCTCAATGCATTTTTTACATACACGGTTTCCGTTGTACATTTTCCACAAACATATTTCTTTTAATTATTATTATTTTTATAATTCTTATAATTATAAGAATATGTAAGAATTATAATTATTATTCTTATTATTATTTCTTCTAAGAACTTGAGCTGTCTTGATTGTTTCTCAATTTTTCTTGGTAAAAACTAACAGTTAGTTAAAAATGAAGTAAAGCGATCAAAATAAAATATAACCTACTTACCAAAACATATAGTTTTTGTCAATTTTCTTACACAAAAATACCAATCTAAAATGTAGGTACTTTCTTGAAATTTGAATTCACAGTTATTCTGATTGAACTAACTATGCGACAGTCTTTGCAGAAATGTGCAACTAATCTAATGCAATACATTGAGCATGCATTTCATCAAAATTTCTGATCCGATAACCTTATAAAGCAATAAATTGTTCTTCCAGTCAAATAACCGGTTGTGGTAGAAATAGGTATACGACTAGTATTATTCAAAAAAAAAAAAAAAATTATTTAAAAATAATAATAGAATAACTGTATAAAATTGTTAGAAAAGTCATGAAGTCAAATGTGCAAAACCGATAAGATAAGTAAATTTTCAATGCAAAAGTTCTTAAATGGTCATTTGACCGGTTGTGGTATGTTTAGTGCAAAGAGGCAATAAGACAGTGTGTTTTAAAAACTCAATATAAATAGGAAGAATTTTATTCAATTTTTTAATTTTTAATTTGATGGGTTTCACTACTTTTTAAGTTGGCAGTTTTGCTACAAAACAAACTTAAATTTCATGAAATTTAATGGAAATACTGGATTTTTTTTAAATTGCAAATCGACAAAAATGTTTAGTTCGACTAAATTGTATTGACCAAAAATTAAAATTGTTTAAACAATTTTTTTTATTACTTTTATGTTAGAAATCTAGAACTTTAGATCAATGACTAATAAAAAATAATTTTTGAAATCACAGAATAATTAAGAACTGGCTTGAAAATCATACAACTCATGATATAAAATGAAGTGACTCATAAGTTATAAAATGTTATGATTTAAAAAAAATCAGACTCTTGTGATGATTTAATTTTTAAAATAACATAACATAAAAGCATAACATAACATTACATAATATAATACCGTGTAACTAAAATATCAGCTGGTTATGAGCAAATAATATTATGATGTTTTCAAATAATATCCAACTAATAACCCCTGAAATTTTGATTTAAATGAAAATTTAGACCCAAAACTAAAAGAAAACAAGGTCAACTGCTCACATATTTTTTTTTAATCTTCTAGGATAACTTTTCTCGATTTAATAGAGGGCACTGCCTCTACAAAAATTCTTCATAGAAGAAATAAAATAAATAAATAACAGGAAACTTAATTAGAAACATATATTTGCAGTCACAGGCAAAGCCTCTACAAAAATTCTTCATAGAAGAAATAAAATAAATAACAGGAAACTTAATTAGAAACATATATTTGCAGTCACAGGCAAAGACACAAAAACCCTAAACAAGGAATAACTGAACTCTGGACCAAAAGTGACACTTGGCTAATATTTCAACTCACCATTTGTAGGATTTGGCCAGTTTTGCACTAACGTGCAATTTCCTATCGCATTTATAATGTGGATTTGATTAAATTCTCCGTGGTTTTCTATATTTGATGGAAAAGTTTACTCAGAACTTAAAAACTAGAAAGGAAAAAAAATTTGAAGATATAGCTGGTTTTGCAACTGAGCAACACATAATCAATTTATGTTTTTCTACTTTACAACTGGAATAAAGTTTAAAAGTTAAACTATTGTTTATTAAACATTAACAGTGTTGTCTTTATTGTTAAAATATCCTATTGTCCTAAAATGCCTGTTAAAGTTTTTTATGTAAAATTTTTTTATCGAAAATCTAATTATTTTTGCTTTCTTAAGTGTTAACAATGTGACGGAATATACTGTTTAAAATATGTTTTTAATAAAATAAAAAATTTATGAAACTTTTTGTCAACATGCTTAATTATATATATACTAATAATAACAGCAATAATAATAATAAAATTGGCATTCTAGAAGATTTGTAAATCATTTTGAATTATGAAGTACATGATTACATCTTATTGTTTCACTGTTTCATTTAATCATATCTCAATTATATTTATATCTCAAATTATATTCATCATTCCCTTAGGTTAAAAAAAAAGAAAAAAAATTTTACATTTATTTTGTTTTCGTTTGTAATTAAAAGGCTACTTTTGATATCTTATTTTTAAATCTGTATACACAACTAAACTTTTAAAAAATATTTTGTTGATAATTTAGAATGTTATTATATTCGTTTATTCATTGTTATTTTATTAAATCTATATTCTATACGAGAATTATTCTATATTCTTTTATTAATTATAGATTATAGAAACATGTGTGTTTGTCTCTTCTCTACTAATTTCTAAAATGAATACTGATGATATGTCTGACCATTATTACTACCTTTGCTAAAATGTTATTTATTAATCTGAAGATACAGTAGAGAACCATTTATCCGGTATCCAGATAACCGGAAAAATTTTTGATCGGTTTTCCCGCCATTTTAAACTAGAACGATTATGAAAAAAAGCGGAAATTGAACTCATCCTTGAAGTTGCGTAGAGGAAAATGTAGGGAAGGGGAGAATTTTTTTCCCTGTTTACCCAGAGAAACGTCATTTGCTCTGTGACCTTGAAGGCAGGGAAGGGAGGAATGTTTTATTTTCTCCTTCAGGCCGTCAATCAAGCTCAAGGGTGTGGCATGCTGATTTAGTTTTCTGTTAGATTTAAGTGGGTGGTGGGGAAAATGCATTGCATGCATATCAGTGAATAGAAGATGAAAGAGAAAAATATAAGGTAGAGTCCCGATTATCCGAGTTAATGGGGACCGCAACAAACTCGGATAACTGAAAAACTCGGTTAAAGCGAAGAGTATAAAAACGGAAAGAAAAAGAGAAGGTATAAATGTAATATATTTAAGAAATACAAAATGTATAAGAGTATACCAAATACAATTTATATTATAATTAAAAAGCTTACTTAAAAACATTTAAAAACCATACTTTGCGAGAATAAAATAGTTTTTACTTAAAAAAAGTCCTTAATCGTTTTTCGTTCTACGTAACTTTGGCGCTTTTCTGTAGTAATGTTTCGCCTTTTTTAGGGATAACAGGAAGGCTGGTGTTGCCTCTTTTTATTGTTCTATATATTCAATATTACATTCGATAGCTTTTAGTCCATCTGTATGAGAGATTTTTATATGTTGATTTTAATAATCACATCATCTCCTCTAGATTCATTATCATTATTGACGATATTAACGATAATTTCATTAGATCAAGTTGTTGGATTTTGTTTTTCGGAGTGTTTGGAAGATAAAATTCAGATTTATTTTTCAGCGGTTTTTTCAAAAATAAACTAGAACAAAAAAAAAATCCTTGAAATATTTGATAGCTCGGTTAAAGCGGAAACTCGGATAACCAGGGCTCAGATAATCGGGACTCTACTGTATTTATCTATTTGACATCGATTAATAAAAATAAAATCTTTTTCTTCTGAATAAATTCTTTGGAAGTGCGGTATCATTTGCAAGTTTTTATTGATGTGGAATCACATCTGCTGTAATTAAATATCGTGTTTTTATCAGCAAAAAAAATAAAATAAAAGGAGAATTGTTTATTAATTTAAACATAGGATTATTTTATGAATCAGATTGCAGTTTTGTTTTTCTGATTCCACTACGTTTGATATTTTTTTCTTTTCACGATAAATTTCGCACTTGATAAGTTAATTCTTTTTATTCATAAATTTTATCATTAGGTTTGTTTTTTTTTAAAATTCCGTTCATCTTGCCTTGTTCCGGGTTTCAATATTTATGCTAGTGCTTTTTTTAACTATCATTTCGGTTCGATAATTTTCAATTGTTTTTATTTAGATTAATAAGTTTTCCTTTTATTTTATCCTTTCCCCCATATAATTAGGTATGAAATATATTGCGTTATTTAACCATTGGTTTTGTTTATATTAGTTATTTTAGGAATTGTAATTATATTTTTAAAAAATAAATACGAGAATTTTGTATTTTTTAAACTTGTTTTTCTTGTCTAAACTTGCAAATTTTTTTATTCTTTTAAATGTTATTTTTCTACCATTTTTTTCTTTTTAAAGTTAGGAGTACCTTTCTTTTTTCTCTTATTTTATGTATTACACTTTTTCCTTGTAATTCGGGTTCGATAAAACATCGATTAACGACACTTTTTGGTCAATCCAGAAAACCGGGAAATTCAGACCTCCGGGAAATTCAGACATCCGGGATAGTGATGTTCCCGAGCATCCCGGATAATTGGTTCTCTACTGTATTATCTATATATAATATCTATTTATTTCTTAAAATTTGTTTGTAGAAAATCAGTGTATTTTGTTTTAAACTTGTGCTAAAAACTGGAAATTGTCATGCTACATACAAAAGTATTATTTTTTTCTCAACATTTGATAGTTCATAAAAAATGAATATGAAACCGAAGGAATTCATTTTAATGGATATGGACAGTGGACCAAAAAAAAAAAGGGATGAATAACTTTTGATCTAATGATTGGATCTTCACACACCAGGACTCAGTTAATGGGTTGACCTCAAAAATGCTAATTAATTACTGTGTACTTCAAAGTTTGGACCAGTAATGTTAAATTTTACTTTTTGCATATTTCTCCATATCTTAAGAACTTTTTTAAATAATTGAAAAATTTTTGCACTCAATTAAAAAAAAATTATTTAAAGATAATTCTATGCCAAAAGCAAATTTCAGTAAGTATTTATTATTTTTGTATTTAATAATTGGAGAAATAAAATTTTTATGGTAAGGTATAAAATTTTTTACAGAAGTATTTAATTTTACATGGCAAAATGAAAAGTTTGAGTGAAATCGGTTGAGTATTTCCTGAGAAATCGAATTTTAAAGAAGTAGTAATTTAAAATTTGATTTCTCAGAAACAATTCAACCTATTTTTCTCAAGTTTTGTATTTTGCCATTTAAAAGTATATTTTTTAAAAGGATGTAAAAAACTGTATACCTTATATTACAAATTTTTTATCTGCTATTAAATAAAATGATAAATAATAAATATTTGCCGAAATGTATTTTTTTAGTGGAAATTGACCTAGGGTTAACAAATTTTATAATAGTGTGGAAAAAATTTTCTTAAGAAGTTCTCAAAATATGGCGAAACATGTAAAATTAACAATAAGCAGTCCAAACTTTACACTGCTCTCATGTCCAAACTATGGGGACCATATTTCCCAGATTGCGGCTAACTACTATATTTTGGGAGTCAGAAATCCGAACCTGTCGAAAACAATGTATGTTTATTCAGAGAAAGTACGTTTTTTTTGTCTGATTTCATAACTTAAAATATCATCTGTGCAAATTAATTAGCATATTTGAGGTCACTCCCTCTAACCATTGATTGACTCTTAAAACGTGATGATCTGATCATTAGATCAAAAGTTGTTCAGGGTGATAAATTTTTTGACACACTGTCCACTACATTTTATTAAATTACTGGTATAAAAGTGTTTGCACCTCATATTAGAAAACTGTTATTGCGAGTGGTATAAGATTAGTCGTTTCTTTGATTTTTAAACTCATTGTTATCAAGGCCTTGGTCTAAAGGAGTTAGAAAGAAACTTTAGATCTATCTTAAATCACTGGCAACTATATTTGAAAAGAAAGGTTTGAATGTTAATTTATCAATATCACAAATGTATACATTTTAGCATAGATTATGCCCATTGTTTATTATCTGTTTTTGCCTGACTTTTACCTTAAAAATAGATCTTATTTTTGTTTTTTATTAGCTTGAAAAGATTTAAAAAATGTATGTTTTTAAATTATTAAACATTCCACTTGTATTGTTTATCGAGGTAAAAATATAGAATCTTCAAATTAGTCCGTTTTTTTAACTTTCTATTTTTTGTAATTGTGTTACAAATCTTTTTGATGACTAAAATGAAAAGTAATAAAAACCATTGAATACTCCACAAACAATGTATTTATTTCAATAAAAGGATATTTTAAATGTTTATTTGATAGATGAATGATGCAATTACTAGTAAATCATACTTAAATCTGCATGGGTCTGCAGGAACAGCCATTATGTTTTTAAATCAAAAGTTCAAAAAAATTATCTTGAAATGTCATACGCCTATATGTCTCAAATTTAAGAATCTGATATGGTTTGTGAGTGAATTACTGCTGAAATGAATAATCCCTAAAAACTGAAGCAGTAAGATGTACTTGGGAATGTAAAAATTAAGTGGAAAAGTCTTTTTTTATTTTTTCTAAATGCTCTAAATCATAGATTTCTAATGTGAGCGCTATTGCTTTAATGTCAAAAATTTATTATTCGAAAACTTAAATGTTTGTACATTTTTATTTACTTATAACTTGTTTATAAAAAGTCTATAATATTAAGCTTATTTATCTTCGTGTTTTTTTTCTATGTTTAACACTGGAGCGGCTGGATTTTGGACTTGCCTAAAACGGCCATTTGGGGTCAATTTGACCATCATAAGAAATTGATGTTATTTTATTGGTAAATATTGTTGAAAATACAATATGTAAAACTTTTTAGAAATTTAAATTTTTCTTAACACAATGACAATATTGCATTATAATTTAATATTATATTATAGATTATTCTTTCTCAAGAGCATTTGCAATACAAAAATAAACAAATGACATGACTATAAATAATATACAGTTGCATATAACATGTATTAAGATGTTAAGTTCCATCACTAGTTTGACATTTACGTATGCATATACAGAATATACGCGAGATGTGAGCGTGACAACAAAACATCAACAAATTATTTTCTAGCATTTCTCACTAGCACACCTGCCAAGTCTCCTGTTTTTTAACGAACACTCTTGTATTTTATGGCTATCTCCTGTTTACTCATATATTCTCAAATTTCTCCGCACTTGTTGAAGAAATTAATAAAATAAAAATTGGTGATAAAGTATCCTCTGATAGTAAGAATATTTCTCATATTCCTCAATGGATGGTGCTATTGCAGTATGTTGAGTGTTAATAGCTTAAGTCTTGCCATAATGGCTCAGGGGATAGAGCATTCGCCTTTCAAGGAGGTGAACTGGATTCGAATCCCAGCGATGACTAGTCGATACGAATCCCGGATCCAGCTTGCACCAGCCACAGGGCTGACCTAAAATATAATCAGTGGTAAACAGATCACAGGTTAGAGTCCCCTTGCCTCAGGCAGAGATTTTTGTGGTTTTAATTCTCCATGTTACTCAAATACGGGTTAGTTCCTTGATAAAGTGCTTCGTGAAGGCAAATTTCTCCCAATACTTGATCCAGAAGTTCCCTTATCTTCTGGATTGGGTTCAAAATTACAAGGCTACGGAGTTGAACATTAGCAGGCGTAAACTCAAAAATTGGGTCGGCTGTTCAGCGACAGTTACAAAATAAAATTAAGTAATTATAAATTATGATTTAAAAAAATCTTCTTTAGATTGAGATTTATACTGTTCATATTTTTCACTTTGCTAAATGTAAGTTCTTATATTATTTCCAATTTTGAATTTCTTTTTTTGACTTACATGATGAATCAAAACTTACTCATAACCTAAAAAATGTCGCTAGTAAAATTTCCGTTTCTTTATTTCTCCAATGTTGGCAAGAATGCATTAGTATTTGTTTTGATCTGTGGCTTGCCATGTTAAAAGGCATGTTTCCTTTATTTTAGGGATTGAAATTTATCAATTAAAGGCTATTTGATGTGCAAAGTACTAATTTATTGTTTTTAAACAAACACAAGAATAAATTCGTAATGAGTAATTGGGGTGACAAGAAATTCTAGCATTGAGTATAGCAATATCAAAAACGATGTAAAAAAAATGCTAAACACAGCAAGTTTC